CTTTAAAATTTTTTCCTTTTTTAAAACAAGTTATATTTATTACGACTAAAGGTAGAAAATATTCATTTATCCTATATATATATATATATATATATATATATATATAGTATATAAAATTTTTGTTATTTATTTATTACGGTTAAAGGTATAAATTTCCTTCGAATAAAATAAATGAACAAATTTATATATATAATACTGCTATAGGTATTATTTTTCTTGGCAAAGAAAAAAAATAAAAATTATTTTATATTTATTACGGTTATAGGTATTAATTTTCTAAGTATTTAAAATAAAAATTTTATTTGTATTGCTATCCATCGTCAATCATCAAATTAATTACAGGTATAAGTATTATTTTTATTTTGTTTCCTTTCTTAACAACAGCACATTCCTCAATAGTGTAGTATAAAAAAAATAATTTTCATCTTTTTTCTTATTCTATCTATATATATATATATTAATTTTAGAAACGAAACTATTATATCCAATAGTTTCGTTTCTAAAATTAATTAAAATGACTTATTAACTAACCGATTACAATTTTCACAAAATATATAAAATTTGTATTATCTGAATTTTTGTTTTTCAATTACTTTTTTTTTTAAATGATTTACATTTTATGAAGAGTTTTTGAAAAGTTGCGTTTTTTTGCAAAAGTCTTTGAAATGGATGTTTTTGAAATGGATGCTTTTACCATTAATTTTTATTGGAGGTTATTTGAAAATAGGGAATATTTGCGAAAATAAATTTGAAATATTTTCATTACAAACAAACATTATATATGGTAAATGTTTTTTCTTTTACATTAACTTCTTATAAATTGGATGGATGGATGGACGGATGGATTGATGGATAAATAAGCAAGGAAGAAAGCAATATTAATACGATGTGAACAGACGGACGTCAGGTAAACAATTAAAACAGTAACTATAAAATTTGAAAAAACTAATACTAATTAATAGACATATTATAAAATCAATTAACATATTGAAAATTTAAACTTAAAACACAAATTTATTAATTAGTCAGTTAATAATAAGTAAAATAAGTAAGCAAGTAAGTAAATAAATATTTTAGAAATATTTTATGAAAATATTACTAAATTA